GATGAAAGGCTGTACGTTGGGCCCACCAATGAGCCCCCAACCCCACATGACCCCCACCCCTTCTGAGACGGGAGTGTCTGGACACAGAAAATGCTTATAACTCAAAAACTACTCAACATAAGAGCACCTTCCACCCCCTCCAGACCCCCACCCAAAACAATAAATCTGTTCTGGTGCACTGGAGCTTCGCGCGGGGGTCATATTGTATCTACGTTTGCTTCTGGCTCACTTATTCTCTTGATTGAAGATAATTTATTCAATCCCATGTCTAATAAAAGCAGTCGATTTTGGTGGCAGAGGAAAAACACGTCACACGTTCTCCCACCAGTCCTGGCTGTTGTCGACTTGTTTTTAGAGACACCTKAGGATTGAGCTTCATTTTTCCAGTAACACAAAACCACAAAGGGAAACAACAGGCTCATGTGTTGATTTAAGATAATTATAAACACAAAGTTATTCACTTTGCCCTTTAAGATTTGTGTAAGTTACCTTTTTTCCTACAAGATTTCAAAAGCTGTTATAAAGATTATCATTATCATTAATCGAAGTGTTTGTGTTGTTAATCGTTTGTGTTTTGTTGTTGTTTTGTGGGCAGGAGACTAACCAGCAGGTGCCCCACACGGGCCGAGTCTCCCTGCCAGGCGGCCTGCAGCAGCTGCGCCTGTGGGGCCAGATGTGGCCGCCACATCCACCTCAGCATTTTCACCTGCAGCTCGGGCGGGCTGAGGTGGAGCGCTGTCTGCTGGAGGTGGTTACAGCACGTCACATCGGCCGCAGTCCTCAGCAGCTCCTGCACCACCTGTCGAACGCACAAGAGTTGTGCTGTGAGTGTTTGAAAACGACAAAGTGACCATAAAATCCTATCATGAATAAGGCAACATTCTATGACCTATATCTTATCAATGTGATCAATATTTCCCTCAAAAACCTGTTGTATACCATGTGAGACCTGTGTTCTGCCCTCTAGTGGATTAACAATGTACTGCAGGAAGTGGAACTTCAGTGTCTGCTGACATGAGGTCACTTTTTCAGGAAAACTTTTGCTAATTTTGTTGGAAGTTATGGTAAGAATAACATCAATATTGTTTGTAATTTTTTAATAAATATTTTCTGTGTTGAAACAATGCATAATTACTTAAAAAATGTTTAATAGTACAGTTAAACAGTGTTAAAAATTTGTGTATCAAACTTGATACTGCAGGTATATACAGTAAGTTGCTCCAGTCCTGAATTGTCATGTGACATTTTAATAATTTTAGTCATTTAATCAATAGTATACTTGCCACAATACAACACACACTATTTTGGATGATTGATTAATTAMTGAAATGYCATTTGAAAACACATTTTGGCTATTTTCAAAGTGTTTCCTTTGAAAATATAATCTCTACGCTGTACTGACTAAATATTTACATGTTAAATGTCAAAGAGAATTGAGGAAGAAAAGGGAAAAAAGAAAGTAAGAAAATGTCATCAATATGATAATGGCAATTGTTTTATAAAGTGTAAGGTGCATCTGTGCCTGAACAAGGACAGAAACTGTATTTGTGCCTACCACCAAGTGAAATAAATGACTGTAAAAAGTTCATTAAAAAAACAAAGTAAACTTCCTAGAGTGTTCTAAACTTGTTAATATGAGCAAAACTGTTTTGTTTTTTTGTTTCTTAATTTAACTTTGTTGCGAGCAAAATGTTACCAAAACAGCCCAGTGTATCAGATTTGATGCAAAAAATATCTCATAAACAAATTGATGTGGTGAAAATAAATTTTTGGATTTTCTTTAAAGGCCCAATAAACATGTCAGTTCTAAAAAATGTGAATTTTCAGACTATTTTTTTAGGCTTTAAAGGGTTAAATGTTTAGTGTTAAAGTGGCACAGCTCAGTAAATAAGAAGATTTAATGAAGCGTCTCCCAAATGCTCTAAACCTTTAAACTAAAACACAGATATTTTATTGAGAAAGTCACGTGTTTGTTGTAAGAGCTGTTATTCAGTGACTAATCTCCCCCTCAGGAGTGTCTTTCTCCTGTTGAGGGAAGTCATTTGAACCTGGTTCTCCAAGGTGTGTTGCAGGAGGAGRGGCTTAAAGGGCAGGTATCAGGTCACATGGTTCCACATGAACCCAAACACTTTGTTGTTTTTAAAAGGAAAACTACTGCAGGTCGCGTGACAGGTACAACTTTAACACATTGTGTATATGATATGCCTCAGTGTAACAGATGTCCTCGTGTTACATTCTAACACACACACACACACACACAGACACACACACGGCCTACCTCACTCATGTTGTTTTGACATGCAGAAATAAGGGCATCACACCTTCGCTTCTCCTCATGTTCGGTGTCGGAGACCTGCAGCTCGTCCCGGCTCTCCGCCGGTGCTTCAGGGCTAACGCCAAAAACCACCGTATCGTTTTCTTCCTGCAGCTCCTCGTCATCATCACTGCTTCTCTGCTTCCTCACCTCCATAGCTCCCAATCAGACCTGTGAGGGCAAACAGCACCCCGCAAAGAATAAAAATAAAATATTAAAAGAAAARAAAAGCTAACATTTTGTGGGGAAAAAGTTAATAAGATGAAAGGAGTGATCTGTCAGCTTGGTGTTTGTGTTTCTGTGTGTTTGTTACGTTGTGACGTCAGCCTCTAATGACCCACCGGTGCCTGCTGGGACCACACTGAGGGCGTACCTGGAAATACAAGCCTCATTATAGCTTCTGTCGAAACACATCGCTGCACATTAAACAAGCTCATCCACAGATGACAGGATGCAGACTGCAGGGGTGAACGAAAGCTGTCCGATACCTCACTTCCTTTTAATTTAGCCGTTACGAGCAGTTTATAAGCATGTAATAAATGCTTTAAAATATAGTGTAGTGCAGAGGTAATAAGGGTAATTATGTTAGGCAGTGGATGATAAATCCATCATTTTAGAAAAAAACATTTTTGGGAATATATATATATAATTTTTATGAAAATATTTGACTGAAACCTCTCGGTTCCTGAAGGGTTTTGAGGTTTTTTTTTTCAAATCCTCAGTATTTAATCAGCACCTTAATAAAAAGTTCACATGATTTAGTGATAATTTTCAATTATTATTATTTTTAATTTAGAAGATGATGTTAAAAGTGCCACATCAATGTACTTATTTGAGAGAATGATAAAGACTGGACTGTTAAAAAAATATAAAATGGTTTAAGATGTAGTCATTCACTTTGTTGTTTTAGAAAGTTTCAACGTTTTTGTTTTGTTAACCGAAGATTATTATAGTTTGAGTATATTTGAGAGAAAAGAGGCAGATATAAGATTTTTCTTCCCTCTGCCACCTTTCATTTCATTTTGTTTGTATTTTCTTTTTGTTGAAATTGTGTTTTATGTTTTATGAAATGAACAAAGTTTATAAATCAAAAATCAAATCAAAAATTATTTTGAAAATGCAGCTCTTGAATAATTTCCTGTCTTTTTTAAATCTCAGATTATATACTGATCTGATAAAAACTATTCTGATTCATAGGTTTTACTTGGACAAATTACTTATAAATTCTGAAGTTTGGTCGTTACGTTTAGGAAAATGAGACTGAGTTATAGAAATTGTCATAATGACTGCCAATCAGCAGAGCTGTATTAAGCAGTGTTTCCCAAAGTTGGGGTCGGGACCCAAAGTGGGGTCCTGAAACATCAAGGTGGGGTCCTGAAAAGATTTTCTGAATTAATTACATTTTTGCCTTAGTTGTTACAAAGGAGTGAGGTTAGTGTATTTAAAATGGATAAAATGTAGTATAAAAATATTGTTACTATGCCCATGTTTTGTTGACCTGATACAAATGTTTATCATCCAAAAATAKTTGGGGGCACAGGTCTCTGCTGCTGTTATTTTGTGGGTCAAAAGCTGAAAAGTTTGGGAACCACTGCACTTTGGTTCCTAAAGTTGGGCTTGGGACCCAATTATGGGTCATGAAGCACCTTGGATAATCTCCAGAAATCAATTTAAAGGGTAATAAAATAATTGCTGATGTAAAATTTTCCCTATAATATTACAAAAACACAAAAAAGTATAAATAAGTATTTATATTTGTGTATAAGCTGTTTAGATGGTCAAAAAAAACTGTGTTTTTAGGGTTATTAACGAAGTTCATGTACTCAGACCAGTAATATTTGGGGTCACAAGTTTTTGCCATGTTTATTTTGTGGGTCAGAAGATAAAAAGTTTGGGAACCACTGCACTAAAGTACTTGAAAAAACAACTAATTAAAAGTAAAATTACAGAAAATGACTWTGGTAAAARCAAATTTCACGGATGAGAAAACTACTTAAGAAAAAGTCATAAAACTGTTCACAAAAAGGGTAAAGTAAAAGTACTTTTACATACTCTATGAAATAAACTGTTGGATTTACTGAACAAAACTGGATCCTATAAGCCAGTTTGAGTAAATTGAGCGACATGTTTATATTCTTTGCTCAATTTACTCGACTAGTCTTAGTGGAGCAGCTGACATGACTTTGTTGAGTAAATTCGACACTTCATTTTTAGAGTACAGAAGAGTTTGAACATATTTAATTTTGTAACAAGTAACTAGGTGTTACATTTTAAAGTAAAGAAGAAAAAGTATCATTTTTAGCTTTGAAATGTAATGAAATAAAGGTAAAAGTAGGTATGTTAGAAAATAATTTGTAAAATTACCACAATCCCCCCCAAAAAACCTAAATGCTGTAATGAAGTAAATGTACATAATTACTATAACTCTCTGCCAATCAGACATTATTACYAGAAATAAAGCTACAATTGAAAAGTCTGTGATACTGAATCCAGTCAGTGCCTCCAGAGACAATCATTCCTAACAGCTTTGAAATACTTTTTTCTAAGTTGGAGTCAAAACCTGAACTGAAGATGATTGTTTGTGTTTTTATTTAGTCTTTGGAAAATCCAGCACCCTCGCTCTGCTCGTTGCTCCTTTTTCTTCCAGGACAGCATCTGGCAGTTGTCAGGTTATTCACAGGGAYCCTGATAGTGAATTAAATGTTTGTGAGCTGTGTGCACAATGAGAACATGTCCTTGGTTATTTTTTGCTTCTTCTGGTTTAATGTTTAACAAGAACCAAGCGACTGACTGTCAAAATGTCAAAATGCCCTAAATGCACAACATATCACTAGAAAAACACAATAATTAGAAAATACAGTGTCTGTTATCTCCGATTATCAGTATTTAAAAAGAATAATAATAAAAAAGACAAAAATCACTTTGTTTTTTACTCACTGTTAAACCTGCTGAAAGTGGACGTCTTGCTGAAACATCTGTTGAAGCAGTTTTCAGGTAAATCTTTGATCCTTTTTGAAACATTTAAACTTTTCCTCTCTTCTTTGTCGTCCCGCGTGCCTTCTGCCGTACGTTTACACTTGGTTGCTGTGGCGACAGCTGGACAGGCAGGCGTTATGAGGTGGTTTTTAATGAGGCTGTTTGTTTTATAAATCCACCACATTTTTTTACTTATTAGTATAAAAATTGAAACTTCTGAAAATACAGTACATGTTTTTAAATTTTTGCACTGATGAAGTTTGTTTTCCTACAAAATTGTTTTGTTTAAAGCAGGGGTGGGCAATCCTGGTCCTCGAGGGCCGCAGCCCTGCATGTTTTATTTTTTCTCTGCTCTAACACACCTGATTCAGA